GCCGCCTCCGCCCTTCCCGCCCTTCCCAGCGGCCACTGTGGTCCTGAGTCTCCTCCTGGGCTCCTTTTCCACCCAAGGGGGAGCCACACCCGCAGACGGTGGCACTTCTCTGTGTCCCCGGTGACTCAGGCTCTCTGGGCTCCGTGTCCTGGTCAAGTGTCAGCCGTGACGTAGGCCCCGGCCTCCGACCTGCGATTCTGAAGTTTAAGAAATAATGTCCTTTCAAAGCCCCCAAAAATAGCCCTTGTCACTCCCCGGGTGGCAGCGGGGACGCCGACGGGCAGGAAGGGTTCCTGGGCCTCTCCACGCGGGTCCCTCGGGATCGTGGATGGGGGTGACTCTGGGGTGGGACACGTCCCTCCTCATCCCTTTCTAGAATCTGGGCCAGAGCCCCAGGGGGCACCAGGCGGTGCTGTGGGGCCGAGGACGCTGGCAGAGGGGACAGTGCGGTGGCAAGTGCTTGCTGCCACCCATAGGACCCGAGGGCTCGGTGCGGGGCAGCTGGGCCTGTTGGTGTGGGGACCTGGATTCAGGTGTGAAGGTGCGTCCTCCCGTGGCCTCTTGGTGGGTGGAGTCCAGGTGTGTTCGGGGGCCCTGGCTTCTGGGACAGGTCCTGCCAGTGATGGCTGTGTGACTTTGGACAAGTTACCAAGCCTCTCTGAGCCATCTGTGACCCCTAGGCCCACTGCCAGCTCTGACAGTCTGGATTCTGTTCCTCCTCCCTGAAAGCTGTGGGTCAGAGGTCAGAGGAGGGACTGGGCACCCTGGGTGCTGGGTGCTGGGTGCTCCCTTGGTGAGCACAATGGCCGTCGCTCACTGCCCAGCGGCCTGTGTGGGTTGGCTGTGGAGGAACAGTGTTGGGGGCTGGAGCAGGGCCTGGGGCCAGAGCCTGGAGGGGAGGGCTCTGTGGCCTGGGGGGGGCAGGCCCCCCAGTGAGAGGGCCTGGGGGACCCAGATTCCCCTCCCCCGCCTGCCAGGAAGCCCAGGGTCCCCGTGTCCACGAGCCCCGGTGGCCAGGCGCGGATGCCCCAGGGACAGAGCAGGTCTGGGGGCTGCCTGCCCGCTGTGGGGACGCTTGGTCTGGCCCTGGTGCCAGGTCTCCGGGGGCAGCAGCTGAGCTGGGCAGGGAGGTGGCCTGTCCCTTCCCTGCAGGGAGCAGGAGGGTGCCACCAAGGCCCCTCCAGAGAGGGTGGCTCCGCAGCCCTGTCCTCGGGGCTGGCAGTGCCTTGGGGACGGTGGCCCCTGCTGAATTCTGGGCAGCTGGCCGCGGGCGCTGAAGCCCGGCTTTCGGGACAGGCTCAGGTGGTCACAGAAGTGGCCCTGTCCATCCCCAGGCAGAGGTGGCCCGGACACAGGAGGCAGCCTCATGCCGCTGGGAGCACCCGGGGACACCTTGGCGAGGCGGTGCCCAGGCCGGCTGCGCTCCTGACAGCTGCCCGCGCTGGTGGGCGCTGGGCGGGCAGGGCCACCGCTCCCGGGTCTGGCCAGCTTCGCCTCTGAAAAGGGACAGGGAAATCAGAGCCAGCCTCCGGGAGCAGTCCCCGCCCGGCCAGAGGCAGTGAGTGGCTGGCCAGGTGGTGGCCTGCCGTGGCCAGGCTTCGGGGTCAGCAGGTGTGGTGCTGGGCTGCAGCTGCTCCCAAGGGTCCCCCTCCTTGGTCATGGGAGGGGACAGAGGCCTGGGAGGGGGCAGAGGCCTGGGCGGCCTCCTGGCCTGGGACCCCTGCCTGCCTCAGGGACTTGCGGGGCTCACTGCTTGGCCTGAGGCCCCTGGGAGACCTGAGTGCCGGTCACTGCAGCGGGGGACCTTGTTAGCAGGGCAAAGGGACCCTCTGAAGGCCTGCAGCGAGGCCAGGACACCGTGCCCCGTGGCGGGCCGAGGAGGCCGGAGCCCCTCGTCATTTTAACCCCGAGGCCTGCGTGGCCACTCTGCACTGGGCTGTGGCCTGCAGCCCCCTGGGCGGGACTGTGGTTTCTGGGGGACAGAACCCTACTGAAGGGCAGATCAGGCTACAGGCTTGGCTGGATCCAGCACAGTGTCCCTCTCTGTCACTTGCCCTTGCCCTCTCTTGGGTGCCCAGAGAAGCCTGAGGTCAGCTCAGGAGCCCGTCTCAGTCTGTCAGTGGAAAGAGAGGGTCCGTGGGGGCCACTGGCTGTGCAAGAGGGACAAGGACAGCTCAAGGCAGCCGAGTCCCGGGCCGCCAAGGGACAGGGTGCAACAGCAGAGAGCCCTGCAGGACGGAGTGAGGCGGCCGGTCCCTCCCCGCTCCTGCTGGTCTCCACCTCACCCTGGTTGCCATGGTGATGTCCCTGGGTCCCAGCACAGCCCCGCTGGACTCGGGGTCCCCAGGCTCAGCCCTGAGCTGTGTGGTGAGCACTAGCGGCCACCTGGCTGGTCTCAGCCTCACCCTGGGCTGCAGGATGGTGTGAGTCTCCATGGAAACCACAGCGCTGCCCCCATCACCTCCTGGCTGGCCCTGGCGGGGGAAGCCCGCTGTGGCCACGGGTATAAATAGCCTGGGGCTGGGGAGGAGCTGAGGATGTGGGAGGCGGCTGTCTGCAGGATGCACGGGGATCCCCGCCTGTCCCCCCCCTCGGGGAGCAGGGGGCTGCGCAGGACAGACAGACCCAAGATCTGCATGCCCCCTGAGCTTCTCTGGGTCCCGGATAAAACTTTCTGACCTTCTTCAAGGCGACACCATGTGGCTTACATCCTGATAGGGCTTCAGACAAGCCTGAACTGAAACCCCAGATCTTTCACCTGTTGGCTGTGTGGTCTTGGATAAGTGAATTAACCTCTCTGGGCTTGTCTCCTGTATGTTCCTAAAGAGGAAACAGGGTCAATACCTAGGCCACAGGTCGGCTGTGAGGAGCAAGTTGAGATCATGCTCTGGAAACTGCTTGCCCCTGCACCTGGACTGCAGTGTACATTTTCTGGTACCAGGAACAGAACCCAGGGGCACTCCACCCCTGAGCCGCGGCCCAGCCCTATTTTGTATTTTACTTAGGGACGGGGTCACGGAGTTGCTGAGCACCTCGCTGTGGCTGAGGCTGGCTTTGAACTGGAGATCCTCCTGCCTCAGCCTCCCGAGCCCGCAGGTGTGGGCCACCGGCTGGCACTGTGCAGTTAGGGTCACCACAGGGAAGCCTTGTCACCCTGCTAAGCGCCTCAGTGAGGGGCGCTGATGTCCTGGGGTCCTTCAGAGGGGCAGGGGAGGAGCCAGAGCCACCAGCCTCCTGAGGCCCGTCCCCTGAGGATCTGTCCCAGCTCCCCAGCCTGGTCCTCAGGCACGGGGAAAGTGAGCGCGCCCCTTGGGGTGGGTGGCCTCTCTGGGTCCCTGCTGCAGGGCTCCTCGGCTCAGCAGGTGACCTCGGTCAGCCTACCTAGGGGTGACAGAGGGTGGCCGGAGGGAGGGGAAGGGCCATGCTTTCCTGGGTGGTCCAGCAAGGACTTCTGAGGAGGGGACATTTAGCAGGTACCTGGAAGGCCCTGGGCCAGGTCCACAGCAGCCGTCAGGGCCTGGGGGGGCCGCTGGGGGGGGCGCCCTGCCCCTCCTCTCCTTTGCTGCCCCCCTCGGCCCTGACAAGGCCACAGCTCAGCCCCCGGCCGGCCACTGGGGCTGGACCTTTGTCCCGGGGTCTCTGGGCCTGATTTGTGAATCTGTTTTCTCGTGGGCTTAGCTGAGACCCGCTCCTCTCCACACCTGCCCACGGTGGGGACCGGCACAGGCCCGAGGTGGACGCTGTGTCCCACGCTGCCCTGGCCGAGCGCCGGCCCCGTGGTCTCGGGCCCTTTTCTGAGGCTGCGCCGTCCTGGGGGAAGGAGGTGGGTCCAGCCCGTCCTGTCCCGCCCTCATCTGTGAGGTGCCGCAGCACCTGCGCGCTAAGTCCCCGGGGGGCGTGGCCAGAGCCCGCCAGGGCAGTGGTCATGCACTGGACAGTGTCCACCATGCAACCCGCGGACTCTGTGACCGGCTTTGCTCTAGCCTCTTGGGACTCTTGTGAGGATACCCTGTCCCCATGCAGTGACACTCCAGCAGAGGAGAGGTAGACCCAGAAAGTCACTGAGTCCACCCACGCTTACCCGAGTAGATTGGGGGAGGTGGCTGGAGGGGTTGGGGAAGGGCCGATGCTTTCCTGAGTGGTCCAGCAAGGCCTTTCTGAGGAGGTGACATTTAGCAGAGCCCTAAAGGAAGCAGAGGAGCAAGCCACAGTAACATCTAGGGAAGAGCTTTCCACACAGGGAACAAGTGCAAAGGCCCTGGGGCAGGAGCGTGCCCAGTGCGAAGACAGCAAGGAGCCCTGTGTAACCGGACCGGGAACTGAGAGAGGCCTGGGGAGAGCAGGGGAAAATGGTGGAGGGCCCCTGGGTCATTTAGAGGCCACTGGCCTTTTCCCTGAGTGTGAAGAGGCCACCGGAAGCTTTTTACCAGTGACGTGAGAAAATGCACATTTAAAAGGCCATGCGGCGGGCAAAGTAGACCACAGGGCAGGGGAAGAGGTCAGCACTGACCAAGCGGGCCCCAGGCAGGGCCAGGAAGTAGTTCAGGAAGGGCGGACACTGGAGCAGTGAGCCGTCCCGGGTTCTTGGGGGTGTGGCGGTGGGGACAGTCTGCGGGAGCCGCAGCTGGGCACGGGTTTCCGGAAATCTGACGGCCACCCCGCGGTCACCCGGGCTCCCTCTGCAGCTGAAGCAGGAGATGGGCGACGTGGTGGGGAAGCTCATCCGGACCTACAACGCCAGCGGCCAGGACAGCCTGCAGGAGGCCTGGGACTACGTGCAGGCGCAGGTGAGGGCGGCGCCCGCGGGGCGCTGCGCTGGGCGCGGGGTCTGGACTCTGCCGCGCGAGTGGCGCCTGACCGCGCTCCTGGGCCGGGCGTGGGTGCGCACCGATTGCAGGCGGGGGCTCCCGATCAGGCCCCTCGCTGGCCGCCCCCCCACCCCCCCACCCCCCGACCCGCACCCACCCTCCGGCACCCCCCACCCCCGCCCCGAGGCTGAGGTCCTGCTGGGCGCGTGGCCTTGGAGGCAGCGCTGGGGCGCAGGACGCTGGCGTCCGAGGTTCTCAGACGGGAGGTCCCTGCCCCGTGCCCTAGGAGGGCCAAGGAGGGCTGCTTCATTTTGCTCTGGTGCAGGAGCCTGTGGGTGACGCCCAGCCCTGCAGACTGGTGTCCCCTCCCCCATGGGGTCACCCTTTTCCGCGGGAGAGGAGGCCCCCAGGCCCCTGCGGTGGGAAAAATCCAGTGGAGCTCGAAGCTGCCTGCGCGGCCCAGCGTGCCTGGCACGCCCCCTGCTGGCCATGGGCTGCTGGTCTGGGCCTCAACACCCTGAGATGGCCCAGAGACAGCTGGGGACTGTCACTGGACACCTGGGCATGCCTTTGACCCTCCAGGGACCCTAGTGAGCCGCTGTTAGCACCTCAGGGACCTCTCAGTGGCAGATCTGAGCGTCTGGCTTGGAGAGGCTCCACCCTGCGGGAGGGTGGCCTGCCCCGGGTGGTCGGTGGTCACCAGGACCTGTCCCCTCTCTGCCCAGGTGAAGTGCTGCGGCTGGGTGGACTTCCGCAACTGGACGGACAACGCGGATCTCATGAATCGCACCGAGCTCACCTTCCCCTGCTCCTGCCAGGCCGCCCTGGACGAGGATGACCCCTTGTCCCAGAAGAAGGGCTTCTGCCAGGCGCCGGCCAACGGCACGGCAAACAGCACCACCAGCAGCCCCGGGGGCCGCAACGACCCTGAGCTCTGGCCTGTGCACAAGGAGGTGTGTGCGGCCACCATGCCTGTGGTGGGCGCGCGCCTGGCCACCCGGCTGCGCCCAGTCCTTGGGTGTCACTGATTGGTGCCATCGACTTAACAATTCCTGCGGATCTGTTAAGTTCCTCCTTCGGGACCTGCGTGGGTGGCCTGGTGGCGCAGGCCCAGGG